GAGAGAGAGAGAGAGAGAGAGAGAGAGAGAGAGAGAGAGAGAGAGAGATTGATTCACAGAAAGCTCCTCCCACCCACAGAAAGAGACTCCTCTTATTTCCAGAGCTTCCCAGGAGCCCATCGTATATCAAAACAGCTCAAAATAACCAATATGCTGAAGACAAATGGTTAAGGCATATTCTGATCCCATGCAGTCATATAGAGGCATATCCATCCATATGTACATACACACCCCCTGTACTCATAGGGACATCTTGATTCCTTGCAGTCATATGGGGACATATCCCTGTCCCTTGCACTCATGGTTCCACACCCTGGTCCTACACTCATATGGGGGCATATCCTGGACCCCCTACAGTCATATGGGGTCTTATCCTGTGTCTCATAGATATATCTGTCACCTTTTTCTGACTTTGACATGTGAGAGAGAGAGCAGAGAAGTGGGGTCGAGTCTAGGGATGCTGGTAGCATATCCGTTCTGTTGCTGGGAGGTTGAGGGAACTTGGGGTCTGCTCTTGACTCGGGGGTTCATGGAGTTCTCTGAATACACGCTAATGAGCACCTCTCACCGTCACCCATCGCTCCACCAGCTTATGTCAAGCAGATCTGCGCGGAACGACTTAGGTTGCCTGAGTCAGTACCTGCCTTCGCACTCAGGAAGGTGGCTGTGCACAGGGGTGGGGCTCAGGGCCAGTGAGGATCTCCAGAAGGATCGTGAAGGGGCAGCAGGCACTTTGGGGGATTCCGGTGAGCTGGCGGCAGGGCCCTATGGGCAGAGATGGACTACATACAAAATTAGAGCGGAGCTCTATCACTAGGGACAGCCGAGGACAGCAGGCTGAGATGCGGTCTCTCCACTTCTGCTCCCAGTTCTTCATTGCTCTTGAGACTCTCGGTATCAGAGAAGATGTTGTGTGCCCTGAAATCTTGGGGGAACTGTCAACCCTGACTGGCCTGTCTGGGGGCCCGTGACTGGTCTTAGTGGCAAGGCTGCTTGTAGGTGGTACAGCAGCACAGGTCCAGTGAGCAGCTGCCTCCATGTGATAAAGAAAGAAGCTGGGTGTGCATGGTGGCTTAGAATGATGGAACACGGCTGACAAAAATCCAGGCAGTGGTTATCCAGGCATGAATGGCACCATAGCAAAGGGAAGCGACTTGGGCTAGGAAGTTTCAGTGCACAGTGGGCTGGAGTTGGCCC